AGCTTTCAGACAAAATTTTATCGTATTTTGCCTTGTATATAATTAATTAAAATAGATAGTATTGTTTATTATGTATAATTCTTAATATAAATTAGGTGTAATAAAAATGTATTTTGGGAAGATAATACATCATCTGTAAATATATGTGTATAAAATTATAATATGTTAGGTGTAAATAATCAAAGACTGAATATATTTGAAAAGTGTATATTTTATATATATTTATTTTTATATATTATATTTGTTATATATTTGTATAGCGGATTTATTGTTGAAATAAATATTTATGATATATCGATAGCGTTTAATTTGAATATAATAGCTCATTACTCTGCATGTATATATTTTTATCTTAACAATAATAAATATTCTTAAACCCTTTAAAATGTACAATTTACAAATGCACAGAAATATTGTACAATAAATTGACTTTTATTAAATAATCAGTATTTTATTATTGTGTAACAATTGGGTACTTAAATTACATATGACAATTTTTAATTCATATTATCTTTTCTTAATATACTTTTTTAATTAAAATATTATCGAATAATATATTATATTATTATTATTATAGTAATAATAATAATATACTATTTTCTCTGTTAAGATTAATATTGTATATAATCTAAATAGTAATTGTAATATTTCCCTGATAAATCTAGGCACCACTTCTCGCATAAGTATGCATCTATATAATATTTTAAATCAAGCAACGATATTCGTTCGTCAACGTTGCTTCGAGACTACCACCATTTTCCCGGCGATTAAATTCAAGATGGCGGCACCAACCGCACCGATTGCAACCCCTCATGTAATAGAGAACTCCCTTGCTCGTTTATGCGACGCACTGTAAAGGACGTAGGGGGAAGAACGGTGGGTTGCGCCCTTTCGCCCTCAGAAACGCACACGCGTCTCCGTGTCCATGCTCTTTTTCCGCCTTTTTTTTCATTACGTTTTTATTGGATGTTTCGCGGTCACGTATATGAATTTGTGATTCCGAGGGAAGTATGAAAGGATGATATGCTCACTCATCAAATCAAAAAATTAAAAAAATTGGATATAATGAATTTCTTCAGAAATCTTATATATATTTATTCGTCGTTATTTTATTCAATAATTACAATTTCCCAATAGTTTGCAAAATCATTTTTTTATAGGTGCACATTTAATCATGAAACTAATTAAATATGTTTTACACGTGCAATAAATTATCTGATTAACTGACTTATAAAAGATACTTAACGAATGAAAACGATCATTCAAAATATTGTATCAATATAACATAAATAATACAATGCTGTAAAAAAAATCTCTGCAAAACGCGATAATACATTTTCTGAAGATTTTTCTCGCACTGACCGCGAAACTGTTGGCAGTATTTGCCTGGCACGTTAAGATTTTGAATAAATCAAAATGAAATGGAGAATATGGCGTTTTTTATAATTTTTAACACTTTTTGTGGCAAAAAAGAGCTGATTTCTAAATAAACTCAAGATACCAATAGTTTTCGAACGAGTATTGGTTCATGATCATATGATATTTTTTCATAAAGCTGTTGCTATTTAAATTTTAGACTTTCCATAAAATTTTCAAGAAAGGTATGATCATGAACCGAAGTTTGTTTGAAAATTCTTGAATTCTATTATATTTTCAGATGTCGTTCAGCTTATTTAGAAGCTAGTTTTCTTTTTGCAGTAAAAAATATTACATAACAAAAAATGCCTTTTTTATTTTAATTTATTCAAAATTTTGACAAATTGATAGACAAATTCTGCTAATAACATTGTGCTCAGCGCAAAAAAATCTTCGGAAAATGTAATATCGCACTTCGGAAAGAAATTATTGATTTTTGATCGCATTGTGTAACATATGTATTAAAAAAAATCTATAATTTTGTTATAGATATTTTTATTTATTAATTTTTATAGGAATACATAAATTTGTAACAATACGATTTAATCAAATTCGTAAGTCACTATAGGTATATTCCTAGAAAATAATTACATTAAATATTTTTTTATACTCTACGCATTTGATACATTAATAACAAAATATTATAATCAAATATTTTAATATATTATTTATTAATACGCAGTTTTGCGTTTTCAGATTAGAGTTATATACAATATATTTTTTCTTTGTAAATATATATTAAATACTCTATAATATTCATTATTTTATTATTTTTAATGAAGTGATGTGTGATAAAAGATTAAAATTTTGTTGTTTTATTACACTCTCAAAAGAATACAATTTGCCAATGTGTATCTTTCTCTTAATCGCTTAGGAAAATCATTAATATTTTGATTTTTTTCTGAGCCTTAACTGAGCACACGCCAATAAGCTAACTTTAGGTTTAAAGCGGATTATAAGTGGCACGCGAATGTCAATTTCTGTCCGGAACATGACATGGATAAGATCGCAGCTGACAGAACTGGATAATCCGGGAGCTGCTGCGGTAGCTTAACGTTAAGTGTACCAGATTCTCACACGGGAAGTCCCAGTAGCAATTCGGGTAGCGGAAACCCCGCTGGGACTTTGTGGGGCTCGTTGACACCCTCCTACCGATCTATAGATATATGATCGCGAGCCCTCTAAGATTCTTTCTCTAGAGCATGAATCTTTCTTCTCGGTCTCTGTCTCTTTTCATCTATTGTACTAAAGTGTTTTGTAGGTTTCTTTCCACACAAAGATACGAAAGTTCGTACTCTTTTCTCTCTTCTAGATCCTTTTTTTTAATAGCCAGTTAAGTTTCATCCTTATAGATTTCCATTAAGTATCTTTTAAAAGGTTTCAAATTAAAAAGAAAAAACTCCTCATTGAATTTAAACATTTTTTTTTTTACAATGCATCTTTTATGATTTCTTATTTTTCTTTTTATTGTCCCATGCAGGTTGACAGGTGACTTTCTATTAGTTTGACCTGTTTTAAATTTTATAATTGAAAGGTAACCTTGGGTTAAACGGTTATTTAAATGCATCCGGATTACAACCCTAGAAAAGTCTATCCTAATCTCTCAGGTTACATACCGATAATCTATTGTTATTAAGTTGACTTTGTCCGCCAAATATTTGTAGCACTTTGTTTTTCTACTTTTGCACTTGCCGATAAAAACAAACGGATTATTTTGTTTTAAATCTCTACTTTTTTCAAATATAAAATTAAAAAAGTTACAATTTTTATTCGAACGACAATAGTCTTTCATAATTTGACGACTTATTTATATCATCGAAGCTAAAGTTGATATTTTATAGTGCAGCGTGTAATACTTAAAATAAGTAGATAATTACTGTTTTTTTTTGGTATTGGCTAGTATTATACATATTTGTATCAACATTTCTGTATGGGTTATATTATATGTAAAAACTAATTCATTTTTTTTTTTCACTGAGATCCAATTTAGCATATAATCAGCGCAGGTTCTTTGCTATTATAGACATTAACAATTCTTATGCGTATTTTATTGGATGCAGCAACTGTGAGTAATATTTATGTCCTGAATTTCCAATGAACTTACAATCGTTTCAATTTTCTTTAATAGCTGTTGCTCCGAGGAAATTGCTGTCAACGAATACAAATTCTTCCGCTTTCGCCGTCGCTGTTTATTCTTTTTGGTTTCTATGCGCGTCCAAACATTACCTGCGCGTTATGTTGTCCATGTCGCAGATCGCTTCCCTTGTGCAGAGATACACACTGCGGGTGGGCCTGTATGTCGGAATGTTTGCCTGCGTCATTGTTACGTGTCTGCCACTCGATACGTTTCTCCCGGAATCCGGTTTTAAAATGCGTTTAGAACCCCTAATGGGGCCAGCCACCTTTCCTCCTGCCTTACGCGAGATACCGCTTCTTCATCGGGAGAACTCTCGCATTCTCCCGTGCGAGGACGAGTGTGTTCTCGCGCTCACCGGGAAGCCACGGGCACACCCGGAGCGCCGCTGACTTTCTGATGTATGGATTGCTTGTATCCATTCGCAATTTAAAGACGATGAATACGCGCTGACGTTCCTCGTTGCGCGCACCTGAAAGCTACGAATCGTTCGCAGAATCATCACGACAGGCTGGACTACCCGCGGGGATGAGTAGTTTGTAAACGGAAAGAAGGTGCGAGTAATGTAATCCGTTAATCGAGGGGGCTGCCGGATCAGGATGCAATTCGAGCAGATGAAACATTTCAGGAGAAAAACGTTGAAAATATTACAGTTATAATATACCTATTCACATAATATACATATATATTCTTATATCAACGAAGTTGGATGCGGAATTGTGAAGCAATTTTAAATGTAATTCTTGGATTCCACATTCAAAATTTAGCTGAGTGTGGAAATCCAAAAATTGAATTTAAAGTTAATTGTTAATTTTTTAGAACTCATGAAGAAAGAGAGGGATCTTGTTCTTAAGTTTATGAAATTAATTTTAACACTATAGCTAATACTGACGTATAATGATCCCGTCCTGTCGTGCACAGAGAAGTGTTCTTTCTCTGCGCTGAAAAAATTAAAAACATGTCTGTGGACATACATGACTCAATGCAACAGAACAACTTGTTAGCCGTATTGCATTTCTATGCCGATTTAGGAAAGGATATTGACAATAATTTGAATAAATTTATGAATAAATGTATAAGCAGAAATCAATGAAAAATTTTTATACTTTTATAATTGTTAAGATTAAAGATATGTAAACTAAAATATAATCTAAAATCTATATAATAATATATTCTTCGATTTTTATTTTTATTTTGTTTAGTATAAAATGATAAAAATAATGTAAAGAAGCATTGCTTTAAATATATGTACATAAATACACATTGAAATTTATCTTAAGAGTTAATAAAAATTTATATTTTATTCATTGCACACATTTATTTTTAGATACATTACAACAGTATAAATTTCATACATTGTTATATATATTATGACAACTACAACTAATTATTTCTATTTCTACCCACAAAACACATGTATTATATGTTTTTATTTACTTTTTTATTTCCTTCCATATATCGCTATTTTTTAACTACATTTTTAATCTATCAATCGAATTTACTTTTTAATTGCATATATTTTTGAACCTTGCATATTTCCGTGTGGACCGTAGTTGCAACATAAGTTTTTCACATTCCAGCCATTTGGTTTCTTATATTGCATTTGTGCACAACCAAGACCCAATGAATTAGCCCAGATTATTTGGGTATAGTGACCTGTCTTTGTATCAAATCTACAAATAAATTATTTTATAGACGCTTTAAAAAATGTATCATCTTAGAAGTATTTTAATTAATACCATCTTATAATATTATTTACGCGCTGTTTCTTATACCTATAAATATATAGAGAAAGATTTGATAGATACCTCTAAACGACACGGTTTCGAACGAGTGTGTATTGCAAAGATTCTTGAAATCTTTATTAACATTTACTGTGGTATTCATAAATTAAGTCCGATTTAATTGATAAGAAGTAATGTCAATTGCAAATTCGATACAACGTCATTTATGGTATATCAATCGATTGATGTTTTTAATATTATTTATTTAGATAATTTAATTAATATTGATTTTATTTATAATATAAATTGATTTGTTTATTATTTTAAATATATTTCAAAAATTCTTACTGATATGAAGTATTTATATACAGATAATTTTTACATGCTTGGTGCTATTTAAAGAATAATTAATTTATACTTTATTATATTTGTCTATATGTAAAATCTTTATATATGATTAGAATATCTTACATATGATTAGAAAATTCAAATTAAAAGGATACTTACCTATATTTTTCAACTTCAGTATTATTAAAATCATTTACTTCATTGTACCACATATCAACCATACTGACCACTGTGGCTGTATTTTTTCCCGAGTAAGATGTCTGGGCCATGTTCTGACCAACTGTAAATCTATCTGTAATCGCATACATTAATTGTTAACAGATAAATCAGTTTTTTTTTTCAAAATTATTTAAATAAGATGAAAACAATTTATTTTTAATCGAAGTACATGTTAGTGATAATGTTTATACGGCAAATACATTTTTTATTTGTATAAACCGATTCAAACTTGAAACACAATCATAAACTGTTGCTGGAAATAACATTACAAATTGATTGTTAATTTAACGATAATAATAAGCATTTTAAAACACTGAAAGAACTTAGGTATGTATTGCGAAAAATATCACCTCAGCCTGAATTCGAACTTGGATCACTCTTATTATGTGCAGACATCGATCTTCTTTTTCTTATTTATTATATAATTTATTCTCTTTTATCGGTTTAAATTTTATTTATCAATGAACTATATATTTTATTATACTTTATCGTAAACATAATAAATACATTTTTACTATTATAAACATAATTTACATAAACTGGGTACTTACCTACATTTCTGCATTCGTCATGACCGAATACGCATTGATTGACCCATGTTTGGCAAATCTGCTCTAGTTCTTTATCCCAAACCTAAGAGAATTATACAGAGTATCCGGAATTTAAATGTCAAAACTTCGAGAATGTATAGATGAGGATTGATAAACTATTAATAATTATTTGGTACAGGTATGCTTGTTTTTGCTTTATTTTGAAGAAAAATCTCAAAGTATCCTAGTATATAATGAAACAAATAACAGAACTTTAGCGTATTTGTGTACATACATTATTGCCCCAATGTTTAAGAGGCTACCAAATTCCATTATCTATTCATTTTCTTAAAATTTATAGTTATAAGTTGATTGTACTTTAAAAATTCTACATTGTTATTGGAGGGTTGAATAACAATTTTACTTCTTTTTAAAAAATTTAAATTAGAATTTAATTGTTAAAAAGTAAATTAGTATATATGTATTTATTTAACATTCTTTTGTCTATTTTTTAATTTAATATGCAAGTATAATAATATATATTCTACGTCTTACCAGGTTTGGCATGCTAACCGCCTTTGGTTGCGGACCTGGTTTTCCTCTCTTTTCATTACCTGATGCAACTCTCTGTCTCAGTTCATTATGTCTATTTAATATACTCTTTTTTTCAGCATCACTAAGGCCAGGAAGAGGTGATTCTCCACATTCTTTCGCTGGTTTTGACTGCAATACGATTTTACAAAATTAACTAACATATGTATATATTCTAAATATGTACATGTATAAATCAAATTCTCTCTCATTAAAGAATTTTAACAATAAAACTTTTAAAAAGGAAAAATGTTTTTATTTAGATAAAATAAATAACTTTTTGTGTTATTATAAATGTAAATAGTAAATTTTAATTATATAATTTAACATAAACTTTATCTAATTATATTTTATTAAATTTGTAATATTTCTAAATTGAATATATGTAATACTTCTAAAAATCATTATAAATGTTTTTTTCTCAGTTTTAATATACATATACTTGACTCTCTTTCTCTCTCTTTCTCTCTCTCTCTCTCTCTCTCTCTCTCTCTCTCTCTCAAATCTAAATAAAAATATTTAATAAGTTTAAAGAAAAAACAACGATTATATTTAAAAAGAATGCACAAAAGTATTATTATATTGTACATATTTTTCCTCTCTTATCGTAAAACATTTTGTAAAACGTATAAATATAACAATTTTAATTTTTATATTATAATATTTATTACATATTATTTTATATTATGATATTTATTACGTATTATTGTATATTATATGTTTTATATTATTTATTACATTTAAAATATACTTAATTATATTTTTATTGAATATTTATCTCAATTTATCTATTTCATAACACAAATTTTGTTATGAAACACAACAGCTGTTTCTTTTTTAACTTTCGGTCTAATGTTTTTTTTCACTGCATTTTTAGTTCAACTGGGTCAATAGTGTGTGACTGTATTTTTCAAAGAATTTTTGGGCTCTAAAAAAGTTTGAAAAATTCTGGTACATTTTTTCGACATACAAGAATATAATTTTATAATGATATGACTCTCTCTCTCTCTCAAAACATTTTTTATTTTTTTGTACGTGTACGAATTTGAGGCCAAAATCGATAAAATTTGTTATTATATTAAAAAATTTGTAACTCTTATATCTACATAATTTAAATTTGAGAGAGAGAGAGAAAAAAATTTTTTATGCTATGTTTTATAGAATATTATTTTATATTTATTTGAATCTCACATCTTAATTATGTATGTACGTACATTTATCTATTTAATAATTACTGAATTAAGGAAATATTATTTCTCTTTAATATAATATTGTCATAATAATCATAAAATTCTGTATAACTATGACATTATATGCAATTTTACAAATTACAAAAAAAACATTTATAAAGAATTACTTTCCTATTATTTAATTCCTTTTTATCTTTTATATATGTATACATATATCCCACACACAAATTATATTTTAATAGTTTAATTTAAAAATGAAAAGTGTAAGATATGCGCTCTTCAAGATATATTTTTAAAATTTCATAAAGAATTTGATTGTGCTTTGATTGTAAATGTATGATATAAGACATAATTTTTTGCATTTGTGAATATATTGCTACTTACGGAATATTTGCACATAGTATGACTTCCTTTCTTGCTACATGATTTCATGTTGCAGTAATCTACTGCGGTTACGATGGTAAACACAGTAATTACGAGTATACACAGAATATTGCAGATTCCTGCCATTATTCTTTCGTCGATATTATTTTCTTGTATATGATAAAGGTACGACTTTATCGATGTCTTTCTTCAAACTACTGACGAGCTCGATAAAACGCAGCTAGAATTTATATGCGGCGCGTTATCAATTAATTCAATTTACAAAACATATTAGCTGATTAGCATTTTAGTTCATTCACATTTTGCACGAGTACAGCCATTTATTTTTTCTTTTGTTTTTATTAAAAGAACATTATCTCATTGTTTGTACACATATTAAAGAGACGTTGTCGGTATTATTGTATGCTTCATTATTTATTGAAAAATGAAATGTTAATGTATATGCTTAATATATTTCGATTGATATTAAATATTATTTTAATTTTTATGCAATCGTATAATATATGATAGTGATATCCATTTTTACTATATTTGTATAATACAAAACAGATTTTATACATTGAAAACCAGTATACGAAGAGAAAGGTTTAATTTTAATAGTGTATCTACATTTATTTGTATAATCAAAAAAAACTGTTTATTGAAAACGTACATGATTTATAAAGAGACCTCTAGGAAACTTACTTTATGAATTACAAATGTTATAAATAATATAATATTGTTATAAACTTATAAGTTACAAATATTATAAATAAATTTATAATATACGTATTTTAAAATTAAAGTTTATTTTACAGAATAAAAGAATTGCAATATATACCTAAAAGAAGACACAAATGTTTTATTGTAAAGTATTACTCAGTATACATAACAATTTATAAGAAATTGTCATACCCATGTGCAGCATTTTAATTTGCACAGCTGTGCACAAGCCATATTTACATTTGATTATGTAATAAGCAGAAAGAACTGCGTATTAATAAAGATCACTTTTACGAATAATACTAGACTATTGGACTCGCGAGAAAACTGTTAGAAGTCATTGAAAAATAAAAATCATTCAACTACATTATACTATTCGTATACTATTCGTTCCAATAGATTTTTTTTACCAAGTCCAACAATATTTTTATATAGGAACACTTACATCTAGATACATACCTTCTATCAACTAGGGATCTTCCAGAAAATTCCTACTATCAACATACTTCGTATGTACATTATATATGTATATATATATATATACAATATGCAAGTTTTTTGATTATATTTATAAAATCATATACCAAACATTTTATAATAACAAACTTTGATACTAAATATTTTCTCTCTCTCTCTCTCTCTCTCTCTCTCTCTCTCTCTCTCTCTCTCTCTCTCTCTCTCTCTCTCTTCGTATATTTTAATTTTCTATCATCACAGATAATGAAAAAAACTTTATATCAAATAAATAAAAAAGAGAAAGAGAGGGGGGAGGGGGTTATAAATAATAAAATTCAATATTATAAGTAAACAATTTAGTCAAATAGATATCTTTTTATTTTAAAATTTGATTGTTAAAACTATTGAATATTAAGAACAATATTTGAAAATATTATTAAATCGTGACATGAAAAAATGTGATCACAATGTGCTAATTGTTGAAATTATATGTGATTTTCCTGAGAACTATTCAAATTAAGAAGATCATTCAAATTTAGAAATTTAGTATATTTTACTTTCTACTTTTAGGAAACAATGCAGTATTACATATTACTTTTCTAGTCAAGACATTCACTGTACTATTAAATATACCATACAATCTATCATGGAAATCCGAGCATTAATAAATTCAAAACCATAAAAAGCCTATCAGGTGAATTGAAAAATCACGATCTGCTCAAATAAACTTCGGCTTATCATTATACGCATCAATAGAACTGGACGCTCGAAAACGGCTCGATTTCAGGTCACGCACTTTACTGAAAAACATCGTTTTTTTTTTCTTTATCCTCTTTTCTATTCTTTCGAGACTGTCGGACGTCAAAAAATGGGGGCCTTGGTGGGCGGGTGGCTATTCGAATCTTCAAGAAGAGATGAATGAAAGCCAGAAGTCCATTCACGCGCGCACCTGACTCCAAGCTCCAAATCGTGAGAATCGATCCGGAAATTTTTCAAATCTCTTTCTTTTGCGCTCTCGCCGTTGATACTCCATCTTCAGGAATACAGAATGTGATGAACAAGTAATTTTTTCAGCGACATTTCTTAAAGTGTCTCACGATTACGTTTGTGATCTATGTTATTATATAGAATTTATAATTAGAATATAAAATTATATAAAAATTAAATCTAAAAATGTAAGATTATATATATATAAATAAATATTAATATATAAACATATTAATTATATAATTAATTGCACATATAAATTTAATATTAATAAAATTGTGTTTGCATTAAATTATTAAAAAGTAGTTAATGGAAGGATGACACCAAAAAGGCTGTATTTGATATCTGTCGCATTAATTTTATGTATGGATTTACAACTTTATCATTTGGAAATTATATATCTGATTCGAGGCAAATTAAATGCACACAAAGAACTCAGAGAAGCGCTGATACCAAATTCTTAGTTTTTTATTCTTATACGTTCTGGAAATTTAATTTGCTACGCGTTAATAATTATCTGCATCATATTGAAAGCCTAAGATTAATTTTGTGAGTATAAGTATAGTAGATTTTATTCTTTTTTTTTTGAACCCATAAAATAATAATCCAATTATTTGTTTTTGCAATGTCTATAATAGAAACTGGAAATTATTTAATAATAATTCTAGTAGTAATTTTAGTAGTAAATGCAATACGTAAAAATATAATGCAACAATGTAATTCTATGTTGTTAATTGAAAATAGAAGAAAAAAAATATATTAAAACTTCTATTATAATATTTACTTTTGCAACATCAATATTTTTTTATCCTCGTGTTTTTGAATTTTTAAAAACAAAATTGGAGAAGATTTTTTTTCTTATACTTCTTGTTATCATTTTAAATATATATTTTACAAAGTATTAGTAATATTAGTGATATTATATCATTATACAAATATATTAGTGACATTATTATATATAATATTATTGAAACCATAGAAGAAATATTAAATCAAGTAAAATAGTAAAAAACTTACTTAAGTACTTAAAAGTATTTCGGAATTTTATTGTGAGATTTATATTTTTTATTCGTTATTCTCCTTGTGAGCATCAATCGTTTCGTCAATGTTATCTTTATGCTCCTCCTCATCTTTATGCTCCTTCTCATCTTTATGTTCCTCCTCATCTTTATTTTTTTCCTCATCTTTATATTCCTCCTCATATTTATGTTCCATATCAATATGACCTTCATATTCCTTGTCAATGTCGTCTTCGTGTTCCTTGTCAGTATCTTCATGTTCCTCTAATGTCTCAGGTTGAAGATCCTTCGTTTTTGTTGGTAACCATGGACGCGGTGCTCGGAACTCAAGATCGATTGTTTGTCTTTTATCGCCACTATCACAGTGCTTCTTAATTCTCAACAAGAATATATTAGGATTTTCTTCGAGATCAATTGGTCTTATCATCTTTGACCTTCTAACTTCCCTGCCGTCCATACGATAACCTGTAGAAGCACTCTTGATATCGCCTTTTACATTTGGATATAACGTGACTGTACGACATCCCGTTTCCTCGCAGGTTTTCTTAGTCGATGGTACGGGAGCATCCTCTCGAGGAGTACGACAGAGTTCTAAATTGCCATGGGCCATGTCGAACACAAAGCCGTTATTGCACTTTCCTTGGCTCAATGCCGACTCTTTTGAAACTACTTGACCAATGCATTCACACGGAGGATCGTACTCCTCTTTGATCGTCTCCTTGTGCATCCTGATGATGACGTGGTTATCGTTGATGATAGCTTCAATCTCCTTGTGCGGCTGCTCCTTTTTGACGATTTCAGACACGATTATGTCAGTTGGAGTTTGCTCGGTGTCAGACATTTGAAGGTTCTCTACCTTTGGTTTGCTTCTGCTTTTCGAAAACTGCTTGTTCATGCTTTCTTTCGATGCAGAAACTGCTGCGCTTACTAGCCTGCGTGAAGGGGTCGAATACATTCTTGATGCATTTACAGCGCAACAACAAGAATATTGTGGAAGGGCTGATGATAAGTGTACAGACGAAATTTTCTGTGAACATGACGGTATATGGAAAGAACTTTTACGATTGATGCAGCAACAAGCTTTGTTTTTAGATGTTGAATAGATATGCTTTGGTTTTTTAATAATTTTGGAATGCATACAACATTGTGCTGTTTGTTTTTGTGAATGGTGCACAGTGCCGTGTGGTTGAAAACAGCAAGGTGAACAAGGTGCTTGCAATCCTACTGGTCCAGGGCTCAGGGCAGACAGTTTTGCTAAACAGCCACAGTTATAAGTTGCCGCAATCATTCTTGCTGTTTTGCAGTGTTATGTGTGTGAATAATGGGACTTGTTACATAACATGATGGTAAATTGTTATGTAATCAATTTTAATCGAATTATCCAATTGATGACATGGTGCGAATTGATTGGAATTGATCCGAATGATGTTAGAAATCATAAATCTGCGATGTATTTGTTTTCTAACGCACAATGTGAATATGTCAAATTAAAGAATCGATTTAAAGAAACTGTACTGAATCCCAACCACAATTTTATAAAAATGAGACGTTAAATATTCAAATAATAATCTTGCTTTCAATAAACTTTACATTCCACATTTCAAATTATCCATAAAAATGCAGTTTTCTAACGATAAAGGTAAATATAAGGAAAGTCTGTTTTTATTAATTAGTTTGACATGAATTTTAATCCAAATTGTTTATACTTAAAACTTAATTTAACAACCAATGTTCTATTTTTAAGAAAATATTTATTTTTTGCTATACATAGTTATAAAATAAGTTATTAAGAAAAAAACAATATTTTTTCTCTCTTATTCATTAACATTTAATCATAAAAAAATTATACTCAATAATTTTTAAATAAAGCATAAATATTCATATTTATATTGAGATGATTTTAAATTGTTTTTTGACAAGACGTGTGCCTCTGTCCCTCAATAACCCAATCTTCTAGTCCATTATCATCTTCATCACATTCATTCGTCAAGGATGCTTGTTCAAAATATTATCAAGAAATAGGAGCTGAGATGATTAGCAATCAGCTGATTATTAGATTGGAGAAAGATAAAAATAAATCAAAAAAGAAACGGGAAGAATGGGAACCACCTTGTGACTGCGTCGAAATTCAAAGACCGACGAGCAAAACAGGCCCCAAAATAATCAATGCTGATTATGACGATCGGATTATATTTCGAGTCCACTCGGCATATCGTTTACACGAAAAGGACGATCCTTATAAATCGCAGACTGTTGCCTACAAAGTTTGTTCCGTTTAATATTCAATTTTAAAAAATTGCCATTTTCTACTAGCATAAGTAATAAGATATATAATACATTAATATTACAAAAAAATTTGAGTAAAACTTGATTATATATTGTTAATCAAAACTTATCATTGCTAATTTTGTGTATATAAATATATTTCTTTATATTTATATAATTAAGATAAACAATTTTTATATAAATTTTTACTCTATACATAAAATTTTTATTAAAAAAATATAAATATTTATTAAAAAGAGCGAATATATCAAAGGAAACAAAAATACTAAGAAAATTTACAACTTTAACGTTAACTCTATTGAAATAATATGTATGTATAATTTAAATTTTTGCAGATCGGATCATGTAAAAATGGACAACAAGACGACCATCAATGCAAGACCATCACTGTATATCCTCAATTTATTTCAGGAACACAAGAAGTGTACAGCGATCATATAAGAGAGGGCGATCAGGATATTTTTTTATTAAGAATTAAAAAGAAAGCAGAATACTCTGAACAGAAAAACAGAAACGTCGAACTTGAACTCAGAACACCTAAACCGCCGCCAATACCGGCACCGTCATCTGTACCTGCAGTTGCACCATCGCAAATTAATGACGATGTACATGTAGAAGATGAAAAGGAATCTGACGTGGTAGAGGAAAATGCACTGCCAACAAGCATAAAAGAAAAAAAACACAAACGAAAGAAAAGAGGAAAATAATTCAATAGTTTAAAAATAATTAACGTATTTGTATACACACACATATACCAGTTTATTTATAAACTCATATCACCAAATATCACACAATTCAAAAAATAAAATTAAATGTAATTTTATCAATTACGTAAATTATATATATAATTACATAAAGATTTAAGAAAAAAATACAGTTATTAATAAGTGTAAAAGATTATATTTTTTTATATTTTATATTTTATAAAGTAAAATAATTTTGTATGTCTATTATATTTATTGTTCAGTTTGCCTAATTCTTTCATGAAGAATAAGCATTTATCATTTAAATAAACTACAGCTAGAATAAATAAAAAAAATATTTGTAGCAGTAAAGGATTAAATAGATCTGAACATTCTTCCAGGAGTTCAAAGAATATGAATATGATGAATTCGGATTAAATCTGTCGGTAACCGTTGATAGCATTCGAAGGAAAAAGTTGGACTTTGTTTGCTATTATGCAGATAGAATCTTCAATGGAATGCACATTGTATGACTAATACGAAATTCAGTTTGCGTCCAGCTTATTTATCGTTTGACCGAGTAGCCGTGCAAAATTGCTTCGTTATGGTTGACCAGAAGTTCTCGTTCTTGACTCGTTTCTTTTCAATTTTTCCTTGACTATCCATACAAAGGGTCTGATGACAGTCAATGACACAGCATGCCACTGCCACTGGAGGCCGCATTGTTAAAGCCTCTATTATCATAATTGCTTACTAACTTCTTCATCTGCTTCGCTGAGTTATAAGTGAACGAACTGTCAAAGAATATGACGAATAATATTGTCGCATATCAGAGAGAGAGATATATTAAAATTAATAACTTTGTTTCTCTGTTCTCTGTCACTTCAATCAAAAATATGCTAAAGCGAATTATCTTTGCACATTCTTTTCACGTAAATACATAATAAAAGCATATATTACTCAAGCAGAATAACAAATCATAGTAACGTCAAAATAAATCGTCAAAATAACTTATTGAAAAATGACTTATATGATAATATTGTAATTATTTTGGAGCTGATGTCATTTTGATGCTATAATGACTTGTGCTTTACTCTTGAATATCTATTCCTTCCTGTTATATCTCTGCTTAATATAAACTCATAGATTTTGATCTTCGAATAAAAAATTAATCGATTGTATTATTAAATAATAATACAATATAGATATACTGAGTTTAGTCGTTCTCTTTAAAAAAATGATTTAGAAGGTACTCTCGAAACATCTTAAACTGTCCTCATATTTTCTCGGCATTGTCACCGATTTTCTCGAGGTCGTCACAGCCGGCGAATCCCGCGAGCGTCGTCCGCGACATCGTCGACCGTGGTGTCTATCCGACGTGTAAAGTTAAACTTACAAAAGAGGAGAATGGATGTCGCGATTATCGGCGTGTAGGAGGAAAGGGGGGGATTTACAATATACGCGGGGATGTGGGAGTAAGAAAATGCGAGGGCGGTTTCGTAATTGTGAATGGCGTGGGAGTTCATAAAGGTGTCGTTCGCATTCTGTGTGGTCGCGTTTAAGGTGACAATGGCGTTGACCAATAAATTAGGACGCCACGAGGAAAGAGCGCGCTCTCGATGCACACCGAGAGAAACGGTGTGACGATCACGGTCACGACGGTGAGTGAAAAGCTACTCGTTTTTCCTAAGCCGTGACGGGCTAAAGAGGAGCCTGCGGTTGCTGATGAATGGAGCGACAAGTGACCGCGATATTATACGGGGGACGGCTGTCTGCGAGCTAAGGAGAGGATCTCGACGCGCGAGAACCGACGTCTTCGGGATGAAAGAACTACGATAATTCATGGACCACTTGTGAAAAACGCGTAAAATCGAGATATTTTTTCGCACGCCTGGGTACAAACAGAATTGAGCACTTATAAAGGAGCTGGTAGCATCTCGATTAAAGAAAACTCTCGTGCTGCAAACGTAGATATCATTCAGATAAATGTTCGTTAAGAAAATAGTGATTGATAGAATGATCTCTTTTTGAAATAACTTCTTTTGAACAGTTATTTTTTTTTTTCTAGTTACTTCTCTTAATTAAATTTCCTTGTACTCATTTCTATCAATATAATATCTTTTCTTTTAATTCCTAAACCTAGAGGAAACAAAAAGTAAGTTAATCAAGATGAAAATATTAACTTAAAAATAAATATTAGTTAAGTTATTACTTTTTTAAATAATGGAAATATTTTCTGGAAATATTAACATCACTGTTAACAAATCATTACAGTTATAAATTACAATTAAAAGTCACATACATAGAAATTAGTAGAATAATTTAACACACAGTATAAACAAAATTAATCTGCAAGGTTTATTTTTTAATTATAATAAAAAAATGATAACGTAGAAAGTATTCTTGTTTTCTTTTTTTTTTTACAAATCAGCAAATTATTTTTAGTTTGGTATAATTTTCTCGTTTTCCGTTGATAATATTAATTGTCGCAAGCAGTAAAGGAATAAATAAATCAACAGGCACGTTCGCCGCGGGCGATTATTCAGGGTGGTCCACCGATTGTGGCATCGGAAACTGCAGCTAAAGCTGCTTGATCCGTGAACGAAAGATAGGGGGGAAAGCCGTAATATCATCATTATATTACGTCATACAGATGCGCAGATCAGGGGATCTCGAGACCGCCGTTTTTATATTGCGGTTACTGCACTATTGTGTGCTCTGATGTCCACAAAGGGCCCCAGAAGAACCCCTGCGGAGAGAAGGTCTACAGTATAGCAGGGTTACTGATTGGCTGGTTTTCCTGTCAACAGTTATGATAATCTGTACATACTTCCTATATATTTTCCCTTTCCGATCACCTGTCGATTCTGCGAAGGTGTTCCTGCAGAAATTGAAAAATATCTCGCACGAGTAGGTCGATCATTAACTTCAACCCAAAGAATACATTAGTCAAGAAAAAATCAAAATAATTTTATTTTCACGTCATGAAAAAGAATAAAACTAGATATTAAATTGTATCTATTGAACCATAGATTGTGACCATAGTCTGTTTAACTATAACGGAAATAGACAAGGTGAATATGTATACATGGTGGAAGGAAGTCAGGTGTGCTCGTTATCAGGACAAATTCAATTCATACGGCTCTGCGCAAATTACACAATTGCGGCCATTCAAACATTTGTACCCTAGTAATTTTTTGAAATCTGCCCTAAAAGTAAGCGACTTTTATTTTTCTACGATATAAAACGTATAAAATGTAAAAAAATGTTTTATATTTTACTCTTAACTTTAAAATTAAATTTATATTATTTATAATATATAATAATATATCATAATTATAAAATTAGTTTATTTATCAATATATGTATAGGCAAATATTTTATGTTTTATTTGTAAATTTTAATTAGTATGAAAAGTCAATAGTATATATGATAAATTTAATATATTTCTGCTGCGTATTAACATTTTAGCTCACTCTGAACATAGTGTAATTAAAAACATTGGATACAATAAAATTGACATAAATAGTTGTCGTTATTGAAAGTGGATATGTATTAATTGTCTATTTGTCATCCCTAAATACAATTTTGTAAAAAATTATTAGTAATTTTTACTTTAATGTAGAAAGACAGCGAGCAATAAATCGTTTATATGAGGGAAAATGTTGGCAAGTCATGCTGGAATCACTAATAGTCTTGACAGTGCTGAATTGCATTTTTATGTTCAGTTCCACAGTTACAACCTGCGCATTATGGTAATTATTACTAACCGCTTTTTTTGTTACAATTTTGCGTAATTATTGTAAATTGTAATATTGATTTTCACGGCGCTATTTAAGGAATACTAGTGTCTGTAATATCCGCAATGATAAACGCGCACTTCTTTTTCTTTTTTATTTTACTTATACCGAATAAAAAATCCTTTTTTAGAATAAAAGAAAAAACGTAAATAGCTGTGAGAAAACCATAAACCTATATAAAAAATCCTAAAAAATTGTAAATTACAGTTTCCTGTTACCACAAAGATAATTTCTGCACATAATATATAGTTTCTTACATTTAAATAATATGTAAGTTAATATAATGAGACCTTGAAATTATGATTTTGAAATTTACAAGAAAAATAGATAAAAAAGCACGATCTAACCTTGTTTTTATGCGATATACAGTAGAATATAGTAAAGCAAGAAATGTATATAATGTTTTATTTAAGTAGAATTAAATATTTATTTTATTGACATTGATAAACTTTTACTATTGTGTATATGTGTTGGCATCTCTTTAAATACATATCAAAATTATATGTGCTATCAATAATTTTGTTGTACATTAGGTGGCAATATCAAAGTCATCGTTGCTGTCCCAGAAAAACTACTACTCAACAAAAATTTGATTCAAAAAGATCGAAGGACTATGCTTTACAAACTGCCAAAAAGTCAAGGAAATCAGATTTTGACGGCTATGCTAAAATTGTTAGCAAATCTGGTATAAATGGAAGCAAGCACAGAAGTAAAAGAAGTCAGAAGAACACTTCTAAAGATCTGGGATATCAAAGGAGAAGCAAACAGAAAATATCATTCACGTAAAAAAATTGTTTTCTATATTATATTCTTTTTTATTTTCCTATTTTTATGTTGCAATTATTTATTAAACAATACGGTTTTTAATATTAATTTACAATTTATTATTGTGTATATTGAATATGCGTTTTAGAGATGGACTGGAAGTAAGACAGTTCGACGAAAGGGCCAAAATGTCAGAGGCTTCTCAAACGATAAATGATACAAAATCGACAGTCGTAATGGAATTTTCAACAGTCCAAAAAGTTATGCAGATTGTCGACAACGATCCTGATATTAATACAATGAGAGCTCCTTTCAAAGAAATTGTCATTCAAAAAGATACTGCGGATAAGAAATACGATAATAATGTCGAACAAAATTTCGAGGCTAACATAGCTACTAGTGTCTCTTAAATTATTATAACAGATTAATAAATTAACGATATAAACTTATTATACAGATTGTAAATTCTAAGATAAAGATTAAAAACAGAAAGTTTATAAATATAAATCAAGATTATACTGCTAACAAAATGCCTAAACATTTCAAATTTTTTTATTTTATTTGTTTTATTCAAGTTTATTTTAAAGAAAACATATATATGTATGTGGACAAATAGTTCTTAGATCTCCAATGGAATACACACACACAATGTAAAATTCTCGATCTTTATACGTGTAATTTGGATTTTCGAACTTGAGTGCAAATTTTTATATTGTTTCGTACTGCATAAAAGTCTGAAAAAATTCCTACGTATACTCGTACTTGTGATAATTTTAACGAGTTTATCCTCTTTAAATTTCGTAAAGTGAAATCTCTTTTGAAGAGACTGAAAATTGAACCAGTCTTGAAAAAAGAATAAAAGTACTACCATTCTCGTTCAAGAGGTAGACTTTCACTCTTTTATCAAGATTGGCTTAATTTTCAGTCTCTTTGAGAAAGATAATTTCATTCCACGAGATTTAAAGGGTATATGTATTATCATAGAAGTTAGATTATATTCTACTTATTCTTTTGTATATTTATCTATTAGAATTCATACAATATAAAAATCAATTGTTCCTTTATTTAAAGTTTTACATTGTAGAGAATTAATGAATACAAGCGATTTTGAAAATAATAGATGTACATTTTTTTACTTAACCATATGGTTTTATTGCTAGAAGAATTGTGTTCTCATATTCTTCATTTAATGTTTTTACTTCATTATTACATTTCACTTTTATTTTTAATTCTTGGTGCTGCTAGTTTTTACCTCAAAATCTTTTACAAACACGATATTCGTTTCTGTCTGTTTTTAAATTTGCATTTGTGCTATTCCTCTTGTTTAAAGAATCATTCAACTTGTAACTATTCGAATTTAGTTCAGCTTGTCTGTTACATATCTGCGACGTTTCCCTATTTCTTTCCGTACACCGATGCATGTTCCGACAATCTCCTGATTGAGCGCATATTTTTTTTCTATGGTATGATCGACATTTTTGTTGATTTTTACGATTATATTCAAAACAAGAATCCTTGAATCTCCGTCGTGCATGATCTGAGTCAGTTCTTACGTATCTCGGAAAATCGTGCGAACGTACTCTTCGATGTTCCTGCATCGGTTTTCTACGTACGCAACATTCACTCGAATCAACTCTTCTAAGGTTCTTTGAGAATCTCGGAAAACTAAAAAAAAAGGAATAATATAACTGAAGAAATACACATAACAAACATAGATACTTCGACACACTCTTATCGTTTGTAACCCATTATTTTTATAGGTTCGTACCATACCGAAAAGAGGATACACCAGATGCATGTTATACAAGCGCTGTTGCATATGGTAATACAGTCCACCATTTCGCGAGAAACTTCGCATTTTGTGATAACGTTTACACGTTCATATCCCAATTGATCAATTAGATTTTTTTAGATTTAATAATAAGGTTTTATGTGTTAATAGTGTATCAACAACGCAAATTATTAGAGTATATATATATACAATAACAATATAGTAACATATATAGTAACGATTAACACACATGAAGTATAAGCCTATCAAGCCTATCAGACTTCTGCCAACTGTAACACCATGCATGGTGAATTTGGTTTCACCATTTACAACACTAGAAATATGATGTAATTTTGTGGTCCAATTTCACCATAGAAAGATGGAGCTGAAAAAAAAAAGATGAGGAAAAATAGAGGAAGATAGAACTAAAACTTTTGTTGATTTTATGTCACATCGCGAAAGGTAATTTAGTATCACTATAATTTTTAAGTGCAATCGTTGATTTCCAAATAAATCTGGAATGTTAAAGATTATTGCGTTATGCGGCTGTTTGTGTTTGATAAACTTTTGTGCTTCAAATGTGAATTTAACCTGGCTATTCTTGCATTCCTTCAATGTAATTTGCTAATTTTTAATAGAAAGCTATAGAATTTAGAACACTGAGTAATATAATAAATTATATCGAGCTAGGTTTTTCATGTTAATCTTTAAAATTTTCTTGTGGAAATTTGTAATTTTGTGTAAATATTTTCATAACCAGATGTGCATCAATTACCTTAATTATGCAAGCTGCGCTGGTTATTGGAAAGTTTATAAACACGGTACAAATATACAATTATATTAATAACTTTGTTATACTTCTGGTTCACTTTGCGAACCGCAGTTATAAAGTGATGAAAAGTAATACATGATATAACGAAAATAAAGAATAAGTAAGAGTCAAATTTAAAATTTTAAGTATGTGTAATATGAAATGTTTAATCTTAAATATGTATAAACATTTAAGATTAATATATAAATATTAAACGTTTTATATTATAGATGTTTAAATTTGATTTTTATTTGCTCTTTACTTTCGTTATATTATTTATTCTTAACAAAAGTTATATAACTTTATTTATGAAAACTAATAATAATAATTAAATAACGTCTTAAATATTAATTTTTTTCAGTAATTTGCTTTTAAAATTTAGATCTCTGTTGATTTTGCGATTTCTGTCTTATTACACTAATGATATTTTAATGATTGTTTAATGCTTTTCAAAGAGTTTTCCAAACTGTATTATCTTCTTACGAGATCAATAATAATTATAACCTACTAATTTGTAAGCTGACTCGTAAGCTGATCACATCAGCGAAATTTTGTAATAAAAACATCGAGACAGATATGATATTTTGCATTCTTTTTATTTAATTACGCATATGTTCGATATTATAAGCCTGTATGCGTGAATATTCTTCATATGCGGTATGTTATATATGTATGTGTGTGTGTACAATGTCTGAATGGTGGGGAACTTGGTGTACAACTAACACGCGGAGGAGAGGAATCGTTTTACCTCGAGCAGGTAGAAATCCTGAGCGACAGGAACCGCGGAAGGTACTTCTTCATTCGTCGAGTTGGCCTCCGTAATGCAACATGCATGATTTTTGCATCATGTCTGTGTGATATTTCGCTATCTATTGCAAGGTAAGTGTCGTAATATCTAAGATCGATCTTTGAAATATGCTTTCTTTTAGTCTAGATATAAACAATCAGCAAAATACAAAATTACAAATACTTATGCCGAATTCATAAAATTGCTTTTTCTTAATTGTTCAATAAAACCTACTTTTTAAGAAAAGATTATTAAAAAAAGTAAAATTGTATATACCTCTTATCTTGAAAGTTTAATCTGATGTTGGAGTCGATTTAATTTTTTATTTAATTAAATTTTTTAATTTAAATTTAATTTTATTGAAAAAAACGCGGTAATAAATATGTTTAATTCCTCCTTTTTTTATGAATGTTGTTTGTAATAACAACAGATAATTGTCGTAAACTAATCAATATTCAATGAGTTGATCGGTTTAAAAAAATGCGCTTTCAAAATTTGGTAATAATTTGAAATAAGTTTAATTATTCATCACACTTATTCATTCAAAAAAAGGAAAATGCACGATCATTCATCTTTTATCTTCATTTTATAATTGTATCTTTTGTCTAATGCAGTTATTCCTATATTATCTCATATTTATTTCTTCTCGAGATTATCTATCATTATTCTATCTTCTGCAGCATAAAATTCCTCTCATACATATGTATATATCATCCACTCCATAATATTTTCGCCGATTTATCAGCAATATTACTTGCAGTAAGTAAGCTGATAAACGTGATATAATTATATAAAAATTGGATTATATAAAGTTGCAACTTAAAATTGCTTGCAAATTATTTAGAGTTTAAATTATAAATATATAATGTTTGCATTTCAACACTTTATGAAGGTTATTATAATTATTAAAAAGATAAAAATTAATTAGTCGGTTATGCTCATATCACACCCTTTCTTTTCGCAAGCCAAATTATAATAATGAAAATTTGTTAATTGTTAAAAACTATGAAATATTTGAACCGTTGTAAGTTTTGCTCTGTTGTCTATATAACATGTAAAGTATAACAAACATTTAAATTTAAAAACAAAAATTTATATTAAAAACTTAAGAATTGAAAGTTTAATCTGGTGTGTTGGTGTTAATTTAATTTTTTATTTAATTCAATTTTTTAATTTAAATTTAATTTTATTGAAAAAACGCGGTAATGTGTGTAAATTCCCTTTTCTTTAATGAATGTTATTTGCGATAACAACGAAGAATTGTCGTAAACTAATCAGTATTCAATGAATTGATCGGTTCAAAAAAAATGCGCGTTCAAAATTTGGTAATAATTTGAAATGAGGTCGCCTTGAGATCGAATTCATGTCACGTACGCACTCTCCTTTGCGTTTCTCTTGCCCACCACGTGGCGTGTGCAATATTATTTCCGATTACTTCTTCACTTTCGTTCGTTAAGTACATATTTTAAAGAGATAAATATCGTTTACGCATAGCGTCGAGGCTGAACGGAAATGTCTTTACAGCAGTAAATAAATTACTGTATGATATATGAAAGATGCGCACAATTATCTGAATAATACGGCTAAATCATGTAAACAATGACGATTTCTGCAGAAATACGTGTAAATTAATAATACTAGTACAAAAACAGTAGAAAAGCCGCAAATGATATTTAAATTATATATATACGTTTTTGACATTCTATTTAAGACTTCAAAATTTTTTGACGTCTTTGCTACAAAATTTCGTTTATCATGGTATTTGCAATTTGTGATCAAATATTTGTTCGTTAAAATGAGAAAATCAAACTGCTAAAACGTATGACCTAGTGTCTCTTGTTTACCTGTTCTGATAGAAAATGTGTGAAAGTAAATGATAGATGTAATCTTGCATCATGTAGCAAACATCAATAATTTAAAAAAAATTGTAGATTTTTTTTTAAATAAACAACACTTGCAACAAGTTTATTATTTTAGTATTCAATATGTGTCGTAAATTTTGCTAAAATGTTGAAATAATTGCTAAATTATAACTCTAAGT